TAGGAGAAACTTTGAGAATGGTCTCTAGCCTATGGCACACTTGGACCCTGCATGTAGCCATGTCATTGCTCAGCAGCCTGCTATGCTCTGCTGACCTTGGGACTTACAATGGACTTAAGTTAATGGCCTGCCGTGTGGTTTGGTAACATCGGGACTGTGCCTTTTTACTCGTCAACCTTGGAGCTTCTCAGCCTCAGCAGCCAGCAGCTGTTTGAGTGAAGAAATGCCTCTGGCTCCAGTGGGCCGGGAGCAGGAGGCAGAGCTGGACCCCAAGGTTAAGGGGCTTTCACACAGCCCCTACAGCCTAGCACTTTGAACTTGGACTTCAAGCCTCCAAATTGTAAGAATAAACTCCTGTTTGTTAAGACCATTACATCTGTGGTATTTTCTTGTCAGAGCAGCACTAGGTAATCAGAATAATCGGGCAATCTATATCTGTAGTGATACCGCCTCAGAAACCCAAGGAGGGGTCACTATGAGTCGGATCTGACTCAAAAGCAGATTTGAATTCAACAGTGAGTTTGGTTTGGTTTTTATTCCTTTCCTTGATTGTGAGGAGGACACAGGACCAGCTAATGTTTCATTTTGTAGTGCATAAGTTCACAATGAGTCAAAACTGACTTGAGGCCTAAAGCAACAATTCCTTTCCCCTAGTTTGGTAAGTATTCTGCCATATATCCCTTTCTAAGCAAATACAAACAAATATATACACCAATTAAATTCTAAAACTAATGCACGCTAAGGAAATCAATACCATTTACAATAGCTACCAAAAAAATAAAATACTTGAGAATAAATCTTAGCAGGGACACAAAAGACCTGTACAAAGAAAACTATAAAAGACTACTTCAAGAAACCATAAGAGATCTATATAAATAATAATAATAATAATCGTGGACAGGAAGACTGAACATTGTGAAAATGTCACTTCTACCCAAAGCAATCCCAGATATTCAATGCAATCCCAGATTCCATCAACATGTTTCCATATTCTTTAAGGATATGTAAAAACCAATCACTAACTTTATATGGAAAGGAAAGAGACCTCAGATAAGCAAAGCACTATTGAAGAAGAAGAACAAAGTAGGAGCTTTCACACTGCCAGATCTCAAAACCTGCTATACAGCCACAGTAGTCAAAACTGCCTGGTTGGTATAATGACAGACACATAGACCAATGGAATAGAATTGAGAACCCAGAAATATATTCATCGAACTATGGTCAGCTGATCTTTGACAAAGGGCTGAAATCCATTAAATGGGGAAAAGAATGTTTAATAAATGGTGCTGGCAAAACTGGATATCCATTTGCAAAAAAATGAAACAAGATCTGTACCTCACACCATACACAAAAACAAACCTCAAAACAAAGGAGAAGAATCACATGATCATATCAATTGATGCAGAAAAGGCATTTGATAAAATCCAACACCTATTCTGATCAAAACTCTAAGCAAAATAGGAATAGAAGGAACATTCCTCAACATAATAAAGGGCATTTATGCAAAACCAACAGCCAACATTACTCTCAATGGAGAGAGACTGAAACCATTCCTCTTGAGAACAGGAACCAGACAAGGATAACCGCTATCACCACTTCT